ATTTGACGAAAACAGACCAGATTTCAAGTCTTCTTGAAGAAATGCAATGATATTAAAAACAATCCTAAAAACCTAACATCGGATTCAAGAAATAAAATATATATTTGACCTTTCTGTGTATTTTTCGTGAGAAAATTTGAAAATCCAAGTATGTATTTTCGCCTTTGAAGAGTTGACTTGACTGGCGATCCATGTTTTGATCGACCACGGTTCGCTTCAAAACACTGGGCCTCGTGCATAACTTATTTAGTTAATGAAAAACCTACCATCGAATTTAAGCAATAAAATATGTATGTAACCTTTCTGTGTATTCTTCGAGAGARAATTTAAAAATCCAATTATGTATTTTCGCCTTTGAAGAGTTGGAGTTGCTTCGCAACCGTTTTCGTTTCGGGATTCCTGTCCCGACGCGAGACTGACTACCTCTGTAGCATTCTGTAGGCACAAACAACAAAAATCAAACATAAATGTTTCAAATGTTTGCTTTCTTATCATATGTTGAAAATGTGGTCAAAACTTCATAGTGCCCTATACAACTTTATGGTTGAGAGTTTTCACTTCAGTGAACTGTGATATCATATGTACTTTCCTTTCTAGAGGTGACTTTGCTATAGTATCTAATGAGGTCAAACAACGACAAAATATTAATTAATTAACTCCATTGTATTATATTTCATGAAGTAAATAAATAAAAATGAGCGAGCCTGGACACTAATCTAAGCARATGCATGTCCGCTGATGTATGGAATAAGTTTGATATGTGCAGAAATAACTAGCATTTAGGCTTCGTTATCATACCTCATGGATTTGAAATGCTACCCTAAGCCGATGTCTTCCTCATGAATGTCAATGGTCGAACGGCGATTGCACGACCGAAAGTAGCCATGGTTTTTGCTAGTTGAAAGGCAATAACAACTGATTTGTACTCTAAGATGGTCTGTGGTAAACACTGGCACCTTTTAGTCTCCATTTCTATGTAAGTTGAATCCAATAAGTGAGCTTTCTTTATCAAAACAGTGTAACCATGGTCCTTTTCGGTCGTGCAATCTCCCTTCGACAATTGCCGTTTGCCGTTCTCCCCGACAACGTTTTTTGAAGTAGCTGTATATTTTACAGTCAATTAAAAGTATAACTTGGAAGGTTAGCCTCCTTCGCAGGCACATTTCCACTCCNATGGATGATGCAGACCGTGATGACAAAGAGTAAACGCTAGTATTACTTATCAAACCTAAGAATTAATAGTTAACGATTTTCTTTACTGAGAACCGAAAAAATAAACTGATAACTGTGAAAATTAGTACAATTTAGCTGTTAACTGATATTGCTTCCCCCCCCCTCCTTCAGACCCTGTTCCTAAAACCAAACCAACAGAAAATCGGTGGCTACGCCCATGTAGAAGCAATATAGGAAGTCCCGAAGGCTAACTAAACCTAGAAATTGAACTGTTAAAACTGCTGGTCGTACACATGTACAAGCAGAATGTTTCCTATTCTTCGTTTGTACGTACGTCATGGAAAACAAAATTCAAGTATGTATGAATCCCTGACAATTTTTTCGCCGAAAAGAGTTTTATTTGCCAAGATATAAGCAATATACGCTAATTTTTTAGACGTATTAAAATTTTGTAATTCTGTGAAATTTTGAGTCGAACCGAGCTTTTGTTGCAAGTTTATAAGCAATTTTATTTGCCGATCTTTACAAAGAAATGTATGGCGGCACCGTACTCCAAGTGGACCTCTGAAGTCCACCAGAAATGGCGGCCAACTGTTATGAACATAATTTCGGGTACAAAGTAGCAAATATACCTTATTTTCATTACATTTAGCAAAATTCTAAACCTATATCAAAACAAAAAACTACGATTTAGAAGAATTTTAGATGATTTCTACGGCTTTTCATGCGCGTGACCTGGCGTTGTGCGACATGCGGACTTTGGCTACCAAACTATATTTGGATCTATGACGTAACGTGCAAACGAAGAATAGCTCATGGTTAACCGTAATAGCGGGAGCAAGGATGGCCGAACGGTTAAAATGCCGGTCTATCATCGCTGTGGTCCTGGTTCGATTCCCGGTCCGGGACTATATGTGTCATTTGAGTTTGTAGGCTGGTTCTCTTCCTTGGGTTTTTTTCCAGGTCCGCTGGTTTTCCTCCCTCCGTCAAAAACTAGCTGTGAGGAGTGTCGTGTCGTAAAATAATGAATGTTGAGGTAGTGAGTATGAGTGAATATATAGAGGGCCACAGGTTTATTAGTCTAGAGACTATTTCGTGCTACCCTCTCAAAATAAAAGACTTTATTTATTCATTTATTAGTATGTTCTTACTCGATGGCATTGATGTATATTTCAACAGCCAAAGTCGTTGATACCAAAATACAAGGAAAGCCATCGCCAAGAGAAACCCAGGAACTTGAAAATCGCCTTCGTGAATTGATTGAACAAATTTTGAACAGGAACGAATACGTGGACCAGGATGCCATGCGAGTTTTTACACAAGATCGAAAGAACAAAGCAAAGCTCGGATTGGTCGGCCAAGTAGAACAGCGTTCGGCAAATGTACTGAGGGAGCTGCCTGAAGAAGCTAAAAAATGGGCCGAGGAAGCCGCAAACTTCGTCCAAAAGAAGTTCAGTCTAAAGAAATAGTTTAGTCGACGTTTGAAAGTATTATTCGTATAAAACTCTTCGTTTTCAATAATGAATCTTCGAATCCAATAATGAAATCAAGAATCCAATAATGAAGTCATTTATAAGCTAAGCTGCGTGTTCACGCTTTAGGTAGTCTGAAACATATTTATGAAATAAATAATTGAATGATTTTTCGCAAATGAATAAAGATTTGAATTTAAAAAATATATGAAATAAAAATAACCGCTAGTATATATATCGATAAGGACTAGCAACAGATAAAASGCTCGAATATAAAATGCATTGATGTCAGTTGATTCATCGACCTGCTCAATAAATTATAAATTCAAAGAGAGTGTTTATATGGCAAACGTTTGTCTGTTATAACACTCCTTCTCGAGGCAACTAAATCAATTTTATATATGGGAAGAAAGCTGTCCCATAAACCAGGGTCAACCATCGAGGTTAGGAACAATCGAATCCAATGCGCATGCTCGAGGGATATAGTTGACTCGGAATGTGTCTACGTACCCCGAGGCAGTATGTTTGTATGGTGAAAACAGAAGAAAAGTTGTCCCGGGTAAAATGGTAACCCCTCACCTGGCCTACCGCAAGGGTAATCGTTTGAGGTAAGACAAATAAAAAATGTCCCATGCAAATCAAAATAATTATTGATTTAATAGAAACTGTAGAAATACCAGGAACTACGTTTTTACATATAAAAACTGYCCCCAAGAGTACCGTCACATGGTTTGAATTGGAACAAAGCAAACAACCAAGCTAAAGAGGTACGTCTATGGCGCTCATCTATTTAAGTTCAGATTGTTGATAATACATATTGTTCTATTCGGCTTAATTGTTGTCAGGAAAGGTAGTATTTCTCGACTCATAATCATAGATGTCCACCGACTAACTAGCGCTCTCAATGGGCTTCCCTCTCTTCATAGTCCAGTCAATCTATGAATTTTTGAGGGGTTTGCTTGAACAAATTGCAACAGAATTTTTTTCACTGCAGAAATGTTCTTTAGCACTTGCTTAACAACATACTAAAAATCACCGTCAATCCCAGTGGTGGAACATATCGAAATCTAACTTTGAACTTTTCGCCATATTACACAGGGATCCCATAAATAGAAAAAATCAAAATGTTTGTACAAAGCAGCTAAATTCCATGCAATACATTATGCCCAACGTCAATATGTTCTTTTAGACCTTTGCATGATTCCAAGCAAGTAATGTGTGAAAACAAAGCCCTTTAAGCTAAAGCACAGGGATCCCATACAGAGTAATATAGTGACTTTACTTTCAAAAATAAATAAAAAATACTTAACTAATGGTAATAAGCAGGAGCCCATTACTAATTATTATTA